TCTAGATACATAATTAAGAAATGACCTTGTATCTTGTGAATTATTGACATTTTTAAAGATATAAACTCATCCTGGCATTACACTCATTGAGACCTTTCATTTGAGTACCTACATGCATTTTTATATATTTTTTATATATACATGTATAAATATATGATATATATATTATATTATAATATATATAAAATATATGAAAAATTGATGTGGGTACTTAAATGAAAGGTCTCGATGAGTGTAATGCCGGGATGAGCTTATATCTTTAAAAATGTCAATAGTTGACAAGATACAAGGTCATTTCTTAATTATGTATCTAAAGATAGAGCATTTTTGAACGCAGCCTAAATACTTATCATAATAAATTGATTATCGGTAAGAATGATATGAAACCTTGAAAAGGCACAAATTCAAAAAAACGATTTTATCATAAGATTATGCTAAACACAAAATTTTTCTTATTCTTTCAATAATATAGATTACTTACTTGTTAATTTTTTTAATAGACTGATGGTGAGCGGCTCAGCACCTCTACCAAAGCCGATTTTCGACAGATGGGAAGAAATAACCGGACATCGATTGCTGGAAAGGTACGGGATGACTGAAACGGGTATGGTTCTCTCAAATCCGCTGGAAGGCCAACGTATTCCAGGTGTTTATTTATTTAATCAGTATTACCCGAATTTTAGTGTCAAATTTTTGATATTAGAGCGAAAATATTGGTCATATAAAAAAACTTTTCAAACAAAAATTCAAAATTAAATTTTACAAACAAAAATGTCTCCTATGATTTTCTCCTAGGACCAATCAGGAAGCTGTAATTTCAAAATCAAGATTTTAATAATTATAAAAAATTTGAATTATTCATTACGAATCTTAATTTTTAGAATTACAGTGAAAATATTGGTTGTATAAAAAAATCATGAGACATTTTTTTTTTTTTTGAATTAAATTTCCTACAATTTTTTTTTTCAAAAATTTTATTTCAAGTCCAACATTTCCGGCAAAAATCTTGAGTCTATTAATCACTTAGCCTGTAACAGAGGAAAAATTATAAATCATAATTTTAAATAACACAAAAATACTTTTAGGTACTGTTGGAACTCCACTGCCTGGTGTACAAGTTAGAATAACTGGCCCAAGTAGTACACCCGAAGTATTGGTTCAAGGTTCCAGCTCTGGCAGCAAAGTTGTCGGAAAAGAAGCTAAAATTCCTGTAAGTGGAGACTTACAAGTCAAAGGTGAAAGTCTCTTTCGGGAATATTTCAATAAGCCGGAGGCTACTGCCAAAGAATTTACAAGTGATAAATGGTTTAAAACTGGTGATTATTTTATCTATTCTAATTATTTAGTCCCTTAATAATTTTTGTTCATGATTTTATAACAATAATTTACTATCAAGCTTTTAAAAAAAAATTTTTTTTATTAATCTATATATAATCAAGATTTTTAAATCAATTGGGCAAAAATAAATTCAAGGGACTAGTAGTAAATATTTTGATGATAAAAAATTATTTTTTTTTTTTCAATGGAAATTTTTAGGTGACACTGCAATGTATGACGGCAACGTCTACAGCATCTTAGGTCGCAGTTCGGTTGATATTATAAAGACAGGAGGCTATAAGGTCAGTGCCCTGCAAGTGGAAACGGTAATTCTTGGTCATCCAGACATCATAGATTGTGCAGTGGTCGGTTTGCCTGACATTACTTGGGGACAAAAAGTAAGATCAAGTTTTTCGATTCACTACACTTGTTTATTATCATTGATATATTTGTTTTCATCACGAATAACATATAATACTACTTCTTTTATGTTTACTGATAATTATTTTTAATTCAACACTTTTTCAAGATCACTTCAGTTGATCAATTATTAATTTATAATTTTTTACAGGTCGCCGCTGTTGCGGTCACTCGCGAGGGATCGGAAATTCTGCTACACCAGATACGCGAGTTCGCTAAAAAATCACTACCCGATTACGCTGTGCCTACGGTCCTTAAAATAGTCGACAAAATCCCGAAAAATAATCTCGGGAAAGTTAACAAGCCGAATTTACTGGCAGCTGTTTTTCCAAATAACAAAATTTGAAATTAATATTTATATCATGTACATGCTCACTGATATTTATATACGTAAAATATTTTTTTTTAACTGTCAATCAAAATGTTAATATTTATTTCTTACAATATATTATTATAACATTTGTAAAAAATTATAAATTTGTTTTTGGATTTTAATAAAATTATTTTTTAGTTAAAATTGATTTTTAAATTCAATTTTAAACTCTCGACAATAAATAAAATAAAATAATTAAGTAAAAAAATTACAGAAAAAGTTTATTAAAAAAAGGCTAACAAATAAAAATTATTAATAACCTTGCAGTCACTATGTGACTTGTAAACTATAGAAAATTAAAATTTTGCTTCATTAAATAATGAATTTTGTTAAATTGCACTGTACTTTCTTAAATCTTGACGGTTTTGAAAATATAAGCTCATCCTGATGTTGCGCTCATTAAGAGCTTTCATTTGAATACCCACATGCATTTTGATATATTTTTATATATACATATATATAATACATATAAATATATGAAAAATTGATGTGGGTACTCAAATGAAAGGTCTAGATGAGTTTAATGTCAAGATGAGCTTATATCTTCAAAAACATCATTAGTTGCTTAGATAGCAAAGTCAGTTCTTAATTATTGACATTTTTTAAGATATAAGCTCATCCCGATATTACACTCATCAAGAGCTTTCATTTGAGTACCCACATGTATTTTGATATATTTTTCATATTTACATATATATAAATATATAAAATATATGAAAAATTGATGTGGGTACTCAAATGAAAGGTCTCGATGAGTGTAACATCAGAATGAGCTTATATCTTTAAAAATGTCAGTAGTTCACAAGATATAAGGTCATTTCTTAATTATTGACATTTTTAATGATATAAGCTCATCCTGATGTTACACTCATCAAGAGCTTTCATTCGAGTACCCACATGCATTTTTGTTATATTTTTCATATATTTATATATATAAATATATAAAATATATGAACAATTGATGTTGGTACTCAAATGAAAGGTCTCGATGAGTGTAATGTCAGGATGAGCTTATATCTTTAAAAATGTCAATAGTTCACAAGATACACGGTCATTTCTTAATTATGTAACTAGAGATAGAGCATTTTCGAATGCAACCTAAATGGTTATCATAATAAATTGACTATCAGTAAGAATGAAATGAAACCTTGAAAAGGCCCCAATTCAAGTCAAGACCTTTGCAATGACACTAAATTTTACTAAAAAAACCGATTTTATCATATGACTATTCTGAAAACAAAGATTTTCTTATTCTCTTAATAATAAAGATTAAAAATTTTAAACAAATTAATTTTTTTCAATACATTTTTTTTCTCAGTGTATAGAAAAAAAATTTTTAATGTTTGATAAATATTTAATTGCATTTTTAAATACTTATAAAAAAAAAAATCAGTCCGTATAAAATAAAACTACTTAATATTTCCGTTGGCTGATTTTATTTGACATGATCAAGATTATTAAACCCATTAACTCGCTTTAGATTAAATAAATCGATATTTAAATCCATATCAGACTTTCTAATAGTTATAACGTTATATAAAGTAATACCGTAGTTTCACATTCAACTCAAAAAATATTAATAAACCTACTATATACTGTGTAAACAAAAAATCATCAAAGGTTTCCTCAATAACACGTGGACAAGTAGAAAAAAAAAAAAAAATTCCCGACAAAATATCAAGGAAAAGACAAATAGAATAAATCTTGAAATGTTTTAAAATAAAGATTCTACTAAGTGTGTTTAAATAATTTCCCCGAACGGATAAACAAATTAATATTCTAAGAAAATGATAATATTGAATAATAATAATAATAATGAAATTATAATTTAAAGCAGCACAGCGTTCATTATCTATTAATAGAAAATTTTCACAACAGTCAAAGTACTGTAATAAAGTATTATATGCACGTGAGACCTTCAAACAATTGTTTACAGCGTAGAAAAATATTTATGTGCCAAATTTCCAGTTAAAACTACATCTAATAATTTAAAACCAGCACAATATAAAATTACATTTAAAGCAAGCAATTTACTAAGAAGAAAAGTGTTATAATATTCCCAAGATGGTTTTAACCAGAATATTATAAATTGATATTAAACTAGCAACCTTGCAGTCACTATGTGACTTGTGAACTATAAATAAATAAAATTTTGCTTCATAAAATAATGATCTTTGTTCCATTGCAATGTACTTTCTTAATTATTGACGTTTTTAAAAGATATAATCTTATTCCGATGCTACACTCATCAAGAGCTTTCATTTGAGTACCCACATGCATTTTCATATATTTTTCATATATTTATATATATAAATATATGAAATATATGAAAAAATGCATGTGGGCACTCAAATCAAAGCTCGTGATGAGTGTAACGTCGGGATGAGTTTGTATTTCGAAAAATGTCAATAATTGAGAACAGACTTTGCTATCTTATCAAATATTGACATTTTTAAAGATATAAGCTCATCCTGATGTTACACTCATCGAGACCTTTCATCCAAGTACTCACATGGCTTTTTATATATATATATATATATATATATAT